CCGCGGTTTTGTACATCCTTGACCCGTATCACTAAAGCTTTTACCCCTCCTACGGTTCTCAAACGCCTTTTCCTCGAGCACTTTTCTTCTCACTCCCGCTCCGTTTCTGTCTTCACCGATGGGTCTAAGTCAGCGGACGGTGTTGGCTACTCTGTTGTTTTTCCTGATCGCACTTATATGTGTCGCTTGCCTCCGGAGACTAGCATCTTTACAGCGGAACTTTATGCTATTCTCTATGCTCTTCGTCTCCTGCTTTCTCGTTGTCAGTCTTCCTTTGTGGTTGTTGTTGACTCTCGTAGTGCCCTCATGGCTCTCGGGTCCTTTAATCCGGTTCATCCAGTAGTTGTCGAGATCCAGCATTGGCTGTTTCTCGTTCACAGTAAATTTAAGTCGGTTGAGTTTTGTTGGGTTCCCAGCCATATTGGTGTGTCTTTAAATGAGCGTGCGGATGCTGCTGCCAAGGAAGCTGTCCGCTCTTGTCCCATCTCTCGCAAAGGCATTCCGTATTCCGACTTTTACCCGGTTATCCATTCCTCAGTCCTTACCCGTTGGCAGGCTTCTTGGTTGTCTGTTACTGGTAACAAGCTACGTACTCTTAAATGTTGTGTTTCCTCGTGGCCGTCCTCCTTCCACCGTAACCGGCGGTGGGAAACTGCTCTGGCGAGGTTGCGTCTTGGCCATACTCGCTTAACCCATGGTCACTTGATGGAGCGCCGCCCTGCTCCTTATTGTCCTAGTTGCATCGTCCGTCTTACGGTCGTGCATGTCCTTCTTGAATGTCCTGACTTCCAGGACGAGCGTGTGTCTTGCTTTCCGACCGCCCCTCGCGGTCACCTGTCCCTCGATAGAATTCTTGGTGACTCGGATACTTTTGATATCGTTCGCCTTATGCGTTTTTGTTCTCGTATTGGCATCCTTGGTGATATTTAGCGCCCTCTGATTATTTTGCGTATTTGGTGGTGCTACATAGCCTTCCCGGTTTGGTGCCTTCTTTTGATAATTACTTACTTACTTGGGATAACAATTTATTACATATATATGTTCATATGATTTTATTTGACAGGATTAGGGAATAAATGCCACAAATGAAAGTAAGTTATGTATTGGCCAGAATAAAATCTCCTTTCAAGAACCACAATGTTTAAATATATTCCAACCATGCTGAACTGTATACATAAATATTACTTATGGGGGCAAGAAGAAGTAATTAGCCATAAATATATAATTTAAACGGTTTGATAAATTATTGGGTGGGGTATTTGTTAGGATGAACATTTCGCTTGTAGGTGTTAATGAGGTTTTAATGATACCTAAAATGGATGAAATGATTGAACTGGAAGCATTGTAAATTTAAAAGACTGTTATTAAGAATTTTGTATATTTTCAATAAAATAAAAAAAAATCTACTAATTTGGAGATTTCAATGCAGTAGCAAGTTATGTTCTTGCCAGTCCAATTTGCTGGTTTTGAGATTTTATTGCAATATGAGTAACTTTGCGACGCAGTTAGCGAATTACTGATGGTAATCAGGCTTGTGTACAGTATGAGGAAATTATGTACGCCCTCCTAAACTCTTGCAGTGAATGGATTTAACCAAGGTACATTCTGGTAAGTTGTTACCAGTTAATGGATGTAAGTAAATTAAGATGTGATAAGGACAATATTTTGCCTGGGATATTGGACAGATTATGGAATTATTACTCCACATTAATGCTGAGGTGGTTATAAATAGATGTATATGCCTTTTGCAGAGTTTTTTGTTCTTATTTTCCGTAAGCAATCTTTGACTATTTACTAAGTCTTGTGAATAAATATGCAATCGTTTGGTGAACACGAAATATATTCAATGTAAACAAAGTAATATTTAACAAGTTACTACAAGTAATTAAAACAAATGTACAGTATTTTAACTGCATTCTAGACATAGATGATGAGCTAGGGGGTGAAATGTGTAAGTGGATGAATACATACAGGTATGTATGTGTCCCAACAAGCCATGTGCATCAAAATTGCTTCCTTTGTATTAACCTTCTTATTTTCTTACACATGTATGAATTATGGGTGGATATAAATAGGAGCAAATAGTCCTTCTATACATTTTATTTAATTCGTAGAGGTGGTACATGGGTGGATATAAATAGGAGAGGCTGTATGGACCAATAGGTCTTCATTAATTCTAATGTTCAATAAGTAATCTATAGCCAGCTATGTGGCAGAAATAATCAGTATTTGGTCATTAAAAATATATTTCATACGAGTAAACAATCATTAACAATGAAAATAGTCACTGATAATAGGAACAAATAAGAATGAATTGAAAATGGGAACGAATGTTCTTAGAAAAAAAGGAACAAATAAGCATTCACTAAAAATGGGAACAAATAAACATTCTTTGAAAAATAGGAAGAAATAAACAGTCTTTTGCTGGACTCTTAAAAAAAATTCTTCTGAATAAATAATCTTTCACTAGGTATTAAAAAATATTATACCATCTTTGTCAAACAAATATTTTTGGTCTCAATTAGGCAATCTTTGAATAGTCATTGAACAATATTATGAATCAACTAAAGGAACTAGAAAAAAATTAAGACTGAAGCATCGTTTAGGGCTAAAATATTCAAAGAATTTGGGAAGGGTGCATTATGATTCATGGAAAAATATTTGCTGGCAGAAGGGTGCAGTCGAGATTCAGAACAAAATATTTGACGATGGAAGGGTGCACTTAAAAAAATAAAAGTTGCACCCTTCTATCGATATTTACAATACTTATGGAAGCCTGGACTCTGGCATGAGGAACTCCGAAATCGGACTTGTAGAACCCCTGACGGTGGTTCGACGAACTCTGGACACAGGCTTGTGAAACCCCAGACACTGGCTTGAGTACCCACTGACATGTACTTGTGGAACCTCCCCTCCCCCTGATAAGGGTTCGTGGAATGCCAAACAATGGTTCCTAGAACCCTAGATACTGACTTGAGAAACACCAGACACTAGCTGGAGGAATTCTGGACAACGGCTCTAAAAACTCCGGACATGTTCTAATTGAACCTGGGACATGGGCATTTTTTTTTAATTATTAAGGAAAGTGCCAAGCTATTACGACTTTATAGCACTTGGAAGGGGTCAGGATGAGAATCTGGGGTGGAACGGGAGGGGGGAAGGCCAAGGAATGGTGCCCATCTACTTGGACAGTCGGGACTGAATGCCGACTTGCATTAAGCAAAACCGTCGCTCTACCGTCCAGTCAAAGTGGCTGAGTGGGATATGGGCAAGTGGAACTGCGTAAACTGGCTCGAGGAACTTGGGACATCCTAGTGGAAACCCAGACACGTCCTAATGGAAACCTTGAAACGGGCTCGTGAAACCCCAGACACAGGCCCAAGGATGCCCTAAAATGGGCTTGTGGAATCCCAGACAGGGACTGGGATTCGACAAGCCCATGAACCCCGAACACTCTCTCTTGGAACCCAGGACACGGCCTCGTGGCACCCGAGAAGTTAGATCATGAAACCCATGACACGGGCTCGTGGAACCCTAGACACGGGCTCATGGAACCTTTGACATGGTCTCGTGAAACCATAGACACGGGCTCGTGGAACCACTAGACAGAGGCTTGTGGAACCCTTCACATGGGCTCGTGGAACCCTTGACATGGGCTCGTGGAACCCTAGACACGGGCTCGTTGAACCTTTGACATGGTCTCGTGAAACCCTATACACGGGCTCGTGGAACCCTACACAGAAGCTTGTGGAACCCTTGACATGGGCTCGTTGAACCCTTGACATGGGCTCGTTGAACCCTTGACACGGGCTCGTTGACCCCTTGACGTGGGCTCGCGAAACCGTGGACAGGAGCTCGTTGAACTGCAGGCATTGCCTCACAGGACCCAAGACCTGGGTTTGTGGAACTCCGGATATGGACTCATGGAACACTGGACACATACTCGCTGAACACCAGGCGGAACCCCTGATACGGGTTCGTGGTATCCCGGTCAGAGGTTGCAGAACCCGGGACAAGGCTCACGGAATCCCACGCACGGGCTTGAGGAACGCCGGTCACGAGCTTACAGAATCCCAGACGTGGGCTTGTGTAACCCCAGACCTGTTCTCACGGAACACTAGACATGTGCCCTTGGAACACCGCAGTTAGGCTCGTGTAACTCAGGACATGGGTTTGCTGAATGCCAAACATTGGCTTGCGGAACACCGGACACAGTCTGGTGCATCAGCAGACATGAGCTTGTGGAACTCTGGACTTAAGTTCGCGGAACACCGGACTTGGGTTCAAAGAATCCCACGTTTTCCGGGATTCCTGTTTGAGAATTACTGGTTTAGCAAGTCTACACGCTAGAATAAAGCACCTATGTAGCAGAGAAAGCAGAGATTCCTTCAGCAAGATATTAGCAATTATTAAGGAGTTCTTGTTACAAAAAGGAGACCTTTTCACAAGCATTTTAAATCCTATTGCATTCAAGTTATGTTACGAAAGATGTGGGATTAGAGTGATTATAATCCAGGCTAGCTCAGTTATATGTAATGCAAAGTGTGAGCAATTTTCTACAAAATCATGGAATAATTAGATTTTATCAGTTACCCTCCAAATTTCTTCTTATCGGTCAATTTTAATGTTGTTTGTTTTAACAATGTAAATTTCGCCCCCTAATTGGAAGCTATATTTTTTGTGACTACGTCCATAAGCTTCAGCCACAACTGTTTGGAATAAATCACTGGCAATATAGATTACAAGCCTAATTCTGAATCTAGATAATACAGCATATAAATATAATCATATATTATGCTATTATATATGTAAATCATATACAGGAATTTTACGCAAACTTAGTTATAAATGTACAATCATATTTGAAAAAGTTCCTGATTTGATGGTGAGGCAGGTGAGTGACGACGACACATATAATTTATAATCTTCCCAACTGCAGTCACCCCGAGAACCAGAGATGCGCCAGGCGGGACCTGGAAGTTGAATAGCCCAAGCAATCGTCAATCCATTTTCATCTTGCCTTTGTAAATAATATTATGGAGTTGCGTGTTGAAAAACGAGAGCAGCTTGTGCAGGGCGAGGAAGAGCAGGATGGCTACCAGAGAGAGGCAAGCGAGGACATCCAGCATCAGGAACTCCACCCATGAGAGGTCAGCCGCCGGTGATCTGAGGTGGGGCGCTCCTCGGTGACGCATCACATACTCGCTCCAGAACACTGCCGTCTCCAAGGGCGGCCGAGGCAGGTCTAGCACCACCCTCGACGCCTCCTGTACCTTCTGCGTGTACCTGCACGAAGAGAGTTACAGGGCAGGTCAGGGGAGTAGATGGCCCAAAATTAATAGCTAGATTGGAAGCTACAAGACACAATGTGTGGTGCTAGCACTAACAATATGGACTACTAGCAGCAACAATGTGTGCTACTAGTACCAACAATGTAGGCTACTAGCAGCCATAAGGTGTGCTACTTGCAGGAACAATGTGGGCTACTAGCACCAAGAATGTGGGCTACTAGCAGCAACAATGTGTGCTGCTAGCAGCGACAATGTATGCTACTAGCAGCGACAATGTGGGCTATTACAAGCGACAATGTGGGCTGCTAGAAGCGACAATGTGGGCTAAGAACATCAACAATGTGGCCTACTAGCACCAACAATGTGGCCTACTAGCACCAACAATGTGGCCTACTAGCACCAACAATGTGGCCTACTAGCACCAACAATGTGGCCTACTAGCACAAACAATGTGGCCTACTAGCACCAACAATGTGGGCTACTAGCACCAACAATGTGACCTACTAGCACCAACAATGTGGCCTACTAGCACCAACAATGTGGGCTACTAGCACCAACAATGTGGGCTACTAGCACCAACAATGTGGCCTACTAGCACCAACAAAATGGCCTACTAGCACCAACAATGTGGGCTACTAGCACCAACAATGTGAGCTATTACCACCAACAATGTGGGCTACTAGCAGCAACAATGTGGGCTACTAGCACCAACAATGTGAGCTACTAGCAGCAACAATGTGGGCTACTAGCACCAACAATGTGAGCTACTAGCAGCAACAATGTGGGCTACTAGCACCAACAATGTGGGCTACTAGCACCAACAATGTGGGCTACTAGCACCAACAATGTGGCCTACTAGCACCAACAATGAGGGCTAATATCAGCGACAATGTGCGCTACTAGCCTCGAAAATGTGCGTTACTAGCAGCGACAATATGCACTACTAGCAGCAACAATGATGGCTAATAGCACAAACAATGTGGGCTATTAACAACGACATTTTGGGAAACTAACACCAACAAAGTGGGCTACTAGCAGCGACAACGTTTGCTACTAGCACCAACAATGTGAGCTACTAGCACCAACAATGTGAGCTACTAGCACCAACAATGTGGGCTACTAGCACCAACAATGTGAGCTACTAGCACCAACAATGTGAGCTACTAGCACCAACAATGTGGGCTACTAGCACCAACAATGTGGGCTACTAGAACGAACAATGTGGGCTACTAGCACCAACAATGTGGGCAACTAGCACCAACAATGTGGGCTACTAGAACGAACAATGTGGGCTACTAGCAGCAACAATGTGGGCTACTGGCACCAACAATGTGGGCTACTAGCACCAACAATGTGGGCTACTGGCACCAACAATGTGAGCTACTAGCACCAACAATGTGGGCTACTAGCACTAACAATGTGGGCTACTAGCAGCAACAATGTGGGCTACTAGCACTAACAATGTGGGCTACAAGCACCAACAATGTGGGCTACTAGCACCAACAATGTGGGCTACTAGAACGAACAATGTGGGCTACTAGCAGCAACAATGTGGGCTACTAGAACGAACAATGTGGGCTACTAGCACCAACAATGTGGGCTACTAGCAGCAACAATGTGGGCTACTAGAACGAACAATGTGGGCTACTAGCACCAACAATGTGGCCTACTAGCACCAACAATGTGGCCTACTAGCACCAACAATGTGGGCTACTAGCACCAACAATGTGAGCTATTACCACCAACAATGTGGGCTACTAGCAGCAGCAATGTGGGCTACTAGCACCAACAATGTGAGCTACTAGCAGCAACAATGTGGGCTACTAGCACCAACAATGTGAGCTACTAGCAGCAACAATGTGGGCTACTAGCACCAACAATGTGGGCTACTAGCACCAACAATGTGGGCTACTAGCACCAACAATGTGGCCTACTAGCACCAACAATGAGGGCTAATATCAGTGACAATGTGCGCTACTAGCCTCGAAAATGTGCGTTACTAGCAGCGACAATATGCACTACTAGCAGCAACAATGATGGCTAATAGCACAAACAATGTGGGCTATTAACAACGACATTTTGAGAAACTAACACCAACAAAGTGGGCTACTAGCAGCGACAACGTTTGCTACTAGCACCAACAATGTGAGCTACTAGCACCAACAATGTGGCCTACTAGCACCAACAATGTGGCCTACTAGCACCAACAATGTGGCCTACTAGCACCAACAATGTGGGCTACTAGCACCAACAATGTGAGCTACTAGCACCAACAACGTGGGCTACTAGCACCAACAATGTGGGCTACTAGAACGAACAATGTGGGCTACTAGCACCAACAATGTGGGCTACTAGCACCAACAATGTGGGCTACTAGAACGAACAATGCGGGCTACTAGCAGCAACAATGTGGGCTACTGGCACCAACAATGTGGGCTACTAGCACCAACAATGTGGGCTACTAGAACGAACAATGTGGGCTACTAGCAGCAACAATGTGGGCTACTGGCACCAAAAATGTGGGCTACTAGCACCAACAATGTGGGCTACTGGCACCAACAATGTGGGCTACTAGCACCAACAATGTGGGCTACTAGCAGCAACAATGTGGGCTACTAGAACGAACAATGTGGGCTACTAGCACCAACAATGTGAGCTACTAGAACGAACAATGTGGGCTACTAGCAGCAACAATGTGGGCTACTAGCACCAACAATGTGGGCTACTAGCAGCAACAATGTGGGCTACTAGAACGAACAATGTGGGCTACTAGCACCAACAATGTGGGCTACTAGAACGAACAATGTGGGCTACTAGCAGCAACAATGTGGGCTACTGGCATCAACAATGTGGGCTACTGGCACCAACAATGTGGGCTACTAGCACCAACAATGTGAGCTACTAGCACCAACAATGTGGGCTACTAGCACCAACAATGTGAGCTACTAGCACTAACAATGTGAGATACTAGCACCAACAATGTGGGCTACTAGCACTAACAATGTGGGCTACTAGCACCAACAATGTGAGCTACTAGCACCAACAATGTGAGATACTAGCACCAACAATGTGGGCTATTAGCAACGAAAATGTGTGCTACTATGACGGATAAAATGAGCTTCAATCAGTGAAAAGGTGGGCTACTGGCACTGATAATGTGAGCTTCAACTAGTGATAAGGTGGGAGATGTAGACCGTCCCAAACCCCGAGGAGAACCTTGGGGATCGAACTCGGTTTACGTCAAAAGTGGGGGGGGGGGGAAGTCCGTAGATTGGGACGGGTCCTTTCGCGGGGACGTTGTGTGTTGCCGGGGGGGGGGGTAAAAGGATGGTGTATGGGTAAGAGCGTAAGAGGGGGGATAATTATGGGACAGGTGTACATCAACAGAGGTGGAGAGAGAGAGGGGGATGGGATGGTCGCACATGAGGCGGGACGGGTTACGTCCTCCTGGGGCGCTGAGAGTCGCTGTGGGTAAAATGGGGGAGTAGTGAACTGAACAAGTGGGCAATAATAGTAGTAGTAGTAGTAGTTGATGAATAAGTATGAGTAAATGCCGTAGAGTTAATTGTGTGTAGATATTACTTAAATACTAGTTAAATAACAGTGTAGGAAGCATATGTTGAGTGACCTAGGAGGGGGGCCCCCTTCCAATGGTGGTGTGGGGATATGCGACCATCCTTTTAAGATGTGTGGTTAGGGGTAGGACACGTGATGGAGGATAGGGGGAGAAGGGAGGGGAGTTGGCGGTAGCTTTGACTGATAGCGCGGGTCTCTCATTCTGGTGTCTGCTTTATGTAGTGAAGTGTATATATATATTTTACAAATTCTCTGCCTGTGGTGTGGGGTCTCCAATATCTTCATCTGCAGGTGATTAGTTTTCATGTCGGAGTTAAGGGGTGTACACGGTAGGAGGTCACAGCAACAAATGAGGGGTGGGAATGACCCGTAATGGTTTCTGTAAACAGGGTGGGTGTGCCTCTCCCCTCACTCCCTTCCCCTAGCTTGTTTCCAGAGGGTAAGGAGCGGCTACACATAGCTACCTCATAGGCTTGAGGGGCGTCACCACGTGCCCACATGTCCACATGGATGTGTGTGGGAGCGAGCCTTTGTGCGGCTTACCTCTTGGAAGCCGGAGACGTTACTGCGTTGAATGGCAGCAATACGCAATAGCATAGCTCAGACCGCCACATAGCAGCAGCACATAGTCATGTGGTTTCCACCACCACAACAAGGTAGCAGAGCACTCAGGACCGGTGTGTGTTCTTTGACACCCTGCGCAGGAGTGGACTGTGCTCGCGTTAAGGAGGTGTCATGTGCCGCACTCTCCCCCTCCCCTCACTCCCCTACCATCCAGGTGACAGTTATCAATTAGTCGACAATTTCCCACTTCACATTTCCCCCCAGTCCTCCATAAACGAGGCAAAAAAATGTTTAAACACATTAAACACATTACCACATATGGTAACCTTCTTTTACGACAGCTCATAAAACCGAGGAAAGGGTCCTGAAAGATATTGTTGATAGGAACGTTATCCCTACAGACAAAAATCAGAAAATACAATTAACGATTAACTATATAAACAAAAAAACGGCCAACCTACTCATGAAAAACTCTCCAGACACAAAGCAGAACGCCTTGAAGGAAACCAACGTCGTCTATGCCTTCAAATACCCACTTGGGGACTGTAAGCCCCAAAGAATTCAGTATATAGTCAAGACAACAACGTCTCTTTCCAGGCGATTAACAATGCATAAACAACAGGGCTCCAAAAAGGAGCATATAATCTCTCACATCCAGAAAATCACCAGAGAAATCTAAACAAACAACACAGAAATCATCGATAGATTCAGCGATAGCAAGTGGCTTGACATCTGCGAGGCACTACACATCAAAATTCAACACCAGCAATCAACAGCCAATTAATGCACAACTGTATTCTACTCACTTCAAGACTCCGAACCAATATAGAAGCATCAATAGGGAGTATGGGCCAA